TTGTGGTATAGCTGGAGTTTAAGAGCTAAAACCTGTGTTTTAGTAGCATATGGTTATAAATAACTTTCTTTGGTTTGCAGGTACAATTTTGGTGGACAACATGCTGATCAAAGGCACGGCTGGAGGTCCAGACCCTACCATAGAACTCTCTTTAAAGGACAACATGGATTACTGGGTGCTGCTGGATCCTGTCAAACAAATGCTTTTCCTAAACAGTACTGGCAGAGTTCTGGATAGAGACGTTAGTGAATATTTTTTCTTTCTCCTGCGTCCTGACACTGTGGTAGCTTAAATGGTTGGGTGTGTGGAGCAAGAGTTGTTCAACTTTCTTTATATGAATTCATCTCCTGCTCTGTCATCAAAAGAAATATTAATTCCCTCAAAGAAGAGTAAGTAAAGAAACTAACACACGTGTCTGAGAACACCATTGCATTTTCTTTTTACTGTTCCGGAAGCTTGTCAAACTTCGCAAGCGGAGACTGCAGAATAAAGAGGTTTCTTGGGAAAATGGGACAAGAAATAAGCTCATCCATTTCTCTTTAGCCCTGGAAAAGTGTGGCAGTGCCTCTCTGCTGTGGGCTTGAGGACAGCAGCTGGGCGGGGGGTCCTCACTCACTGTGAGTGCTTTCACGGGCACCAGGGCTTCACAGTAGGGTATAGCTCTCACACTGCGTGTCCTCAGACAAAAAGTTTCCTAGGTACCTTCCATTTATTGTAGAAAAAAGGGTCAGCACCCTAGCCCAGTCATTGGCAAGTGCGGCAAAGTAAGTATTTCATGATTTACAGTTGCAAAACTATTAAACTTGCCTATCTCAATTCTGAAAAATGTAGAAGGTAGGTTCACATATCTCTCTAAAAAATCCTCTGTTGTCAGTTCTGTTCATCCCAGACTTTGTTGAAATCAAAGAAAGGAAAGAGTGAACATAGGCAATAGTTAGTGTTCAGGGAAGTGAAGCAGGAATTAGTGGGAAGGCTCAGGGAGTAGAGCTAACCGTGCTGCCTTCAAGCTCCCACTAGGAAATCTAAACATCACTTGTACCACATTCTTGGTCAGGGTTCATGATCCACTTTACAATACGTGACACTTTGACTCTCTTATTTATTTATTTACTTATGTATTTATTTTGTGTCAGGCTCAGCCCACCCTGGGGGTGGTGCTGGCATGGCATGTGGTGCCGGGGATTGAACTGCGGTCCTTGTGTGCTTGCCTAAGCTTGCCTAAGCAGGCACTTTTGACTTCTGAGTTATCTTACCAGCCTTTAACCCTTGCATTTAAAATTTGCAATCCTTAATAAATCTCTACTTTCCCCTTACTTTGGTATACATCACTGTATTCCTCACTAATTTTTTTTTTTTTTTTTTTTTTTTTTTTTTTTTTTTTTTTTTTTTTTAGTTTTTTCTGAATTTTTTCTGCTGCTGCAGTAGATTCTTGGCTTCAATCATTGAAACATTAAGGCTTTTATTTGAAAATTCTTAACCCAGTGCCCATCTATTTTGTGTGAAGCATAGATCACCACTGCTGCTAGATGATCAGTGAGGTAAATCTGTGCTTTTATGCTAAATCTAACTGTGCTGGGAAATTATAATTTATTTAATCATAAAATAGTGTAAGTGTATAGAAGATGTACCAGAAAATAAAAAAACATATATCATAAAGAAATTTAGGGGCTGGGAAGATGGCTCAGTAGAATAAGCACTTCCCTGGTAAGCACAACGGCCTGAGTTCAATTCCCAGTTCTGCCAAAACAATAAAAAATAAAGAAATTTAAACCAGGTGAAATGTCATTTAGAATTTTTTTGCCACATATTACAAACATATATCTGTTAGTGCATGAAATTATTATATATGTCACTTCATAGTAATTAAGACTGAATCAAACTACATTGTGCTTTTAGCCTGGTTTTATGTGTGATACATACATGCATATATTTCTGAGTGCATGAATATACATACCTCTAAAATCTTTAATACCTGAACAATGTTTATTAATGGATAAATCTGGGGCTATTTTCTTCTTCTTCTTCTTCTTCTTCTTCTTCTTCTTCTTCTTCTTCTTCTTCTTCTTCTTCTTCTTCTTCTTCTTCTTCCTTCTCCTTCTCCTTCTCCTTCTCCTTCTCCTTCTCCTTCTCCTTCTCCTTCTCCTTCTCCTTCTCCTTCTCCTTCTCCTTCTCCTTCTCCTTCT